GAGGGAGAGAGAGAGCGAGAGAGAGAGAGAGACAGAGAGAGAGGGGGGAGAGAGAGAGAGAGAGAGAGAGAGAGAGAGAGAGAGAGAGAGAGAGGGAGAGAGAGAGAGCGTGTTTTGAGGGAGAAAGGAGAATGTGGGTAGATTCTCACAGATGTACAGGAAAATTAAAATTCTCTGACCCAAATTCAGAATATCGTACCTGGTTTAAAAACTTCTGCAAAAAGGAAATGCCAAACGTAAGTGGGAAAAGCGCAATTCCTTTTTTCTTCCATTGGTTTTCTCTGAAAAGAAATAAAACGGGTAATCTCAGTAGTTTTACGACACAAGTTGATGTCTCAAGTTGATTTTTAAGACGAAGGATTGACACCCCCCCAAAAAACAACAACAACAACAACAACAACAACAACAACAAACAAACAAAACCCAGCCCAATATGAATGCGTTTATTTCAGTTCATGGTTTTGACATGCTGGCCATACACGATAATCTACCATACAGTTATCTGGTCCTTCAAAGAAATAACACAAAAGCAAGCTGGCTTTCTGCTATCGGTCTACAATGCGTGCCTTAAACAAAACAATTAAAGTAGTTATCACATACATGTTTTCGTATTTACCATCTTTTCTAACTATAAAATCACACATGGCCCCACGGAGGGTGGAGAACCAAGATGTGTGTTGCACATTAGGGGGAGGGGCTACACCTGAAGGCTATCTCGCTTATTAGCAGGCCAAATTATACCATATTTCACACATATAACAAGCATAGTAAGGAGTCCTAAAATCCGCAACCAAATTTGAGAAAAAGGTTTAGTTTCTATGGGTGCAGCGGCCATATTGGATTTTGTTGACATGTCTTACGTAATGAATACCGCACTTATCGTTCTTGGAAATTGATTTGGTTTTTTTTGCATGCATGTAAGCAAACATTAGATTTTAAAATTTGTCTGTTGATTTTTTCCTGAACGACTTAGAAGATTTTTAATGAATTTTTTCCTGAGGTAATATTCAAGTTTGCAAAAAATCCGTGAAAATCCACACTCCAGACACCACTAACCAAAAACTGTTCCATATATCATCAATTCAACAGACAAATGTCTAGTATTACATCTCCTCGTCATGCTGTGAAAATGTCTTGAAGATTATGTGAAAAATGGTGGAGTTATTTTTAAAAAGTATAGAGAAAAATCGCGTTTTGAGAAAACGGCCGATAAAGAAAAATAAAAGATTGACTTTATGAGGAAATGGTGGTGACAAATATTATGCCCGGTTTGGGTAGAAATACGGCTTTTGGGGGTTCTTATGCTATGAAATGGTTGTAGGAAAGGCTGAAGAAGCTAAAATTGCCAACAACTCCAATTCCATAATTTTGAGCCGAATCTCGACTCCGGGGGTATATCCCCCCCCCCCCCTTAAGTGAATAATATAGGTTTTGAACGGAGATCTCAATGTAGACTTTGACCGAAATAACGAGAAACGCTGATGTGGGGGTGGGGTGAAATCGAGGTGTTTATGCTCCTTTTAATTTTGGCGATGGAAAGAAAGAGATAGAAGATAAGTAGTGGGCCTATCTGCGTACCAAAGACAAAGCTGTCGCTCAATGGAGCTTGTCAATTTGAAAGGAATGGATTGACGAAACACTCTGGAATCTGATGATAACCCCATAGTACCATGATAGTATAGTGAGTAATGATTGTGGCATCAGAAAAAAAATTATCCGAAAGGGAAATATCTCTGTCTCTATCTATCTATTCTATCTATCTATCTGTCGTCCGTACGTCCGTCCGTCCATCCGTCCGTCCGTCCGTCCGTCCGTCCGTCCGTCCGTCCGTCCGTCTGTCTGTTTGCCTGTCTGTCTTTCAGTCTGTCCGTCTTTCAGTCTGTCTGTCTGTTTAATATGAAATAAGATTTATACTACAAATTTAATTGTATATATCATATACATAAAAAGAAAAGAGCAGTTGTTCTCCTACCTGTTGTATTTGTCCACATCTTGCCGCCGTCTCACGTACTGGCTTTTGTCTATGCACATGTCCCAGCAGCGCCTGAGACTGTCTCCGCCCGCGTCTGTGCGGTAGTGCGTCACCTCCCCAGCCTTGTAGAAGTTCCGCTCTTGGACCTGTAGGTTGTTCAAAAGGCAGGAGAGACTAAACATTGTTAGCACCATTCTACAATAGCTAACAAATTTTGATTGTGAGTTATCATGGTGAAATCAAGCTATTGTCAAATAGTGAAATAAAAGAAGAGAATGACATTTTTGGCCATTTGACAATTTTTTGAATAGAATTTTATTTGTTATCGAATTGTTTTGTTTTGTATTTTGGCTACACACCTTTTATTTGCATATAAAACACATTCCTGGGTGGAATTTACAGAAAAATGTTGATTAGAGGTACAACAAGTGTAAATGTGCAATTTCTAAGGACCCACAAGCTTTGGAAGTCATCAAATTTTGATGGCTATTTTATTCGCTAATTTTATCTCTGAAACCAGGCGACCCCCAACCTCCTTCAATCGCAAATATATCAACTTCTATTCAAGAGAGATGGCTATTTTTTTCCTTCGAAAGCGAGAAAAATAAACAGGCTTTACGATTACACCAATATCTTATTATGGGCAAAAATTGACTTACGTCTGATACCACCGCGTTGTGACACAAATCAATTTCTGAGGGTTTCCAGATAAACCCTTATTCAAACATATTTTGATTGAAGCTCCCATTTCCCGATCACCATTTTTGTTCCAGGCACCGTGATGCCCGCCCGCCCCTCTAATTAAAGAAGACCTCAGACACAATGAGAAACAAAGTAAGACAAACATAAACAGATTTTGATCTGATTCTAAACAATCTAAGAATCTCCCCCCCCCCCCCC